CCGCCGGACTTCTGCAACAAGGCGCGGCACGCCACGTACAGCCAGAACCAGACGGTGAGATAGAAACTGATCGAAACTCATCAAACTCAAGTTTGAAACGGCGCTCCCTTTCCAGACTTCATATACTCTTTCCACTGTAGAACAGTGTGGTAATGATATTTGCTGTGGCGACTGTTCCTAGGGCTTCCAGTCGGAGGTGGCTCTCGAGTACTGCGAGCTCTCGGCTGAATGGGGCATTAGCTGCATCACGCCGATCGAGTGCTGGACGCAGAAAGACGGGTACAGAGCGTGCGTCGGCAAATGAGTTATTCGGGATCGTTGTGGCGCAAAGTCATGCCGACCTATGGTTCCGGGCGCTCTCCCGTCCACCTTACATGTTTGGATGGTTTCACTATAAGCATGCCACTTTGGCTGATTTGCAAATGACTTGTGATATTCCTTGATTGGAAAATTGATAGTTATTATTAAACGAAGGGAGGCCTCAAACACAGAATTAATTTTGAGTTAATAAGGTATAAACTCGTTCTTTAACTTTTATTATCGTCCTTGTTGAAGTTGGACGATCCAAAAAAGCGTATGTCCGTAAACTGCCGTTATGGAATTGCCAAGTCAGCCAATGCAAAGTCTCATAGAGCCCTATGGGTAGGCAACATCTTGCATGCAGTTCATGTGTGTATTGCGGGATGGCCTACCCTGAGTCTCGCGGGCGCTAATGTCTCGTTATTTAAGACGAATGATCGAATGAATCTGAGAAACGGATGTATATTCTAGACGATCCATAAGAAGAGCAAGTACTGTTTTCTAGCTTACACCGCGCGGACGCGGAGGTAGCGCATTTCCCAATTAGGGCTCTCAAAACCCGGACCGGCGGGTACCCGGGTAACCCGGGTAGGAACCGGGTAAACGGGTCCTGCCGGGTAACAGCGGGTAACCCGGGTAGACCCGGTATGTCAAATTGCCTACCTACAGGCGCGGTTCCGCCGGTTCTACCCGGGTACCCGGCTAAACCCGTGTTACCCGGTTAGACCCGTTTACCCGGTTCCTACGCGGGCGGGCGGGTACTCGGGTTACCCGGGTATGCGGGTAAAAGTGAGAGCCCTGTTCCCAATTGCCATCTCCCGAAACTAAAGAACATGTAAAAATTGAGATCACCTAAAAAAAGTTTATTTAATTTTAGATACACACATTTTTACTTCACAGAAAAACGGTTCAATGAAATCATTTTATTTATGGGCAGTTTTGTGCATTAGACTACAGGGAAGAAAAATCTAACTGTTGGGTGATAAATTAATCTTGGAAAAATAGGCTCAATAGAAAATTAATAATTGTTACTCAAAAGTAAATTGATAAAACTAAAGGAACCACTGTAGATTTATCGTAGCTATTAGCAAATTCATTGACCACATTATATTCTCCATTCCATTACGATAAAACACCTCTTTCAACAATTGAAGTGAGATAGATTCAGTTTTCAGACAACTCGAAATTCCAAATCAGTATCTATGAGATACAAAACAGTACCAACAAAAAATGTTGGTAAAATAAAATAAGCATAATAATTATAATAACTAGGCTTTGCATAAACAGTAAATTTAGATCATTAAAGCTTAAATACAAAGTCACAAAACATACTTCAACATTTTAAAAAGTACATAATATCAAACAGATGTATCGTCAATATTTAGACAAAGGCAGTATTTTAGATTTCAAATTACAGGAGAGGCAATGCAGATATAGAATGGGTAGAAAACATTTCAAACCAATTTCAGACACCCCATCAGATCTGAACCACCTGCTCGATCTCAAAGTCACCTGTCAAATCATCTGCCATTCACTGTTTGGTAATTTTTTTGTGACCACTTGTTTGTTCAAATTGAACCTCAACAGGAAAATGGATAACAAACTCTACAGTAAACAAAATAAGATAACTAAAGCTTCAGAATATTAAGCAGGTACAGAACAGAACAATTTTCCAAAGCTGTTACTTTTGAACTCAGATATGGTTTAAAGAGAATCATGTCGTTATGTTTCACCAGTGTTCAAACATAGACTTTTATCAAGCTAGTCAAGTCTTAAAGGTGGAAACTTGACATAAAAATAAATTAAAAAAATATCTCCAGCTTAATAAGAATTTCCTAACTACTTAGTCACCGATATCACAATGTGCTTAGAACTGTCAATTGATAGTCTAGTAAGCAAAACATTACCATGCCTTCACATGAAGAATCTTTTCTTAAATTTAACAGAATTAAGAAATTTTTTTCAAAAGTTTTTTCAGAGAACAAAAACATTCAGCTTACTCGAAACTTGCCACTGTTCATGGCAAGTTCAAACATACAAATAAAGTCATGATGGGTATGTTAAGGTTCTGATAGTCCAGATTTTTTAAAAGATTTACAAGTAACTGCAGGTAATGTAAGTTATAAATCTGTCAAAAAATTAACAAATATAAAAAGATTACAGTTAAGACAGTGAAAGTAGAATAGCTTCAAATCTATTTTATAGATTACAAAATAAATTCCTGAAAAATCCTCTGAACGTGTGATGAAAGATACTTCAAGCAGTGGCATGGTGGCTGAGATTGCCTTATCATTTCTTTTTCTCAGGAGCCTTTCCATACATAGAATCGAGAAATAGACCAGCAAATACAAGAATTGTGGCAAGCCACTGTCGTGGAAGAAGTTTGTTACCAAACAGAAATACAGATCCTAAAACAGTAAAGAACTTTCTGGATGTTGTTACAATTGAGCAAGGTAGGGGACCATAGTCAGCAACCATAATGTAAATGAACATTTGTCCTAGTGCGCTTGAAACAGACAGGAAGGCTAGTTCCCAGAGAGCTTCGGGGTGTCGATCAACAAAACCTATGAATTGTTTCAATTCTCCGGTTAATACTATAGCAGCACCCAAGTATATAACTGACCAAAAGTTGGTGTGCAGCATCATGTGGCCAGATTTGGAACTATGCTCAGCTCTCATCCTGTCTTGAATGGCACCTGTAAAAAGATTAATCATACTTAAAATACCTTCAAAATTGACGGGTTAAGCTCAAAAGGTGGATTGACAATAGACACATCAGATACACCAGACAAATCAACACATCACCACACATATCATATAATTTTTTGAGGTCTCACCCTTAAAAAATTATGTGATGTGTGGTGATATGTGATGTGTTGATGTGTCTAGTGTGTCTGATGTGTTTGTTGTGGATCCACCTAAAGAAAATGGATAACCAAACTATAGGGTGAATAAAATGTTCAAGGAATTTCCCTACCTGTGAGCCCATCCATTGTCAGTGATAGGAAGACTAAAACCTCGCCAAATCCAATCAGTGATTCATTAGACTGGACAGTGGCTTTGCTGGAGTCCTTATAAATGAACATAATTATGCCCAATACAACCATGAACACAAAAATATATTTTTTAAGTGGATATGATTTGCGGGCCAAAAGAACACCAAGAATCATGACTGGGATTGGTTTTCCAGCCTTGCCGATAACCTGAGAGGGGTAACTAACCCACTGCAGAGCCATATTGCTGCAGACCATGCCTAATAAAAAGGTCATGGCACATGAAGCATAATAGAAAGTCCTAGTAGAATCCTCGCCTTGCTTCATAAAAGTAGCTAACATCATTTTGGCAAACAGATAATTAACAACACACTGCATGAACACAAGTGCCAGGACGCACGTGAAACGTTCCTCATTTTCTCCTTCTCCATAGACACCTTTCATAAGTTTTTCTTGTTGAATGCCATAATAAAAATAGCATGTAAATATCCCACCAGCACTAAGGAAAAACTTTGTTCGTTTCTCCATTTCCCGAAACTACCGAAATCCCGTATGGAAGAAAGACGTGTCGGCTGCTGATGTGTCTTGGCCTATGTTTTGCTGTCAAAGCAGCAGAGAGACTGCCCGGCGTGAGTGAAGTATAACCACTGGAGCTGCAACCCAAATAAAGAAACTAACGGGTTGACTAGACTAAGAAAGTGCTCGTTTCGCCAAACGTAAGAGAGAGAAAAGAGATCTGCGAGGGAAGCCAAACGAGTATAGTTTCTTTAGAAGTCGAACATCTAGATAGCAGACCACACAGCACACACCACGTCAGACTACAGGTAGTTGAACTTCTCATATTACACTTCGCCAACGCCTTAAAAATACGTAACTTTTCCAGACGGTTTATTTCCTTTATTTTATAATAGTAGGGAGCCTTTGCGTGATATGTTTTCAGTTCATAACAAAATTTCGGTCATGATTTTGCAGATTTTCTGAAATGCACAATGCCCTTAGTATTTTTTCGGTCAGAAACTTACAGGGATATGTTGGCACACATTGTTCACGCGCCAATTTCGAATAATCGAGGAAAGTTTGTCTGATTCTGAAAAGATCTTATCACTACTATCTTGAAATCATTGTAATATAACAAAAATAAAATAAGAGGGTAGAAAATGGCTACACAAAATAGAAGTTGACATTACTTTTTATTCATTTTTTTCATTTAGTACTACATGTAGTAACACAGAAACATGAAGGTACATATGTAAAAGACAAACTTGGTAGATACAGAATTAAGACAGGAAGCCATGAACATATCACACATTTGTTTGGAGCAGACGCCATTGTCTTACCTATCATCTTACTAACAAATTAATATGAGGTACAAATATGACTGAGGTCCCAGAGAATGACATTCACAAGAAAAGCTACTCATTGAGTCAAAAAACAAACAACAAAGACAAACAAGAAGATATAAAAAAGGGGAAAAAGAAACGTTTAAAGCTGTTGTAGCAAACAAATATAAACAAACATAACAAATCCTTTAAAATATCACAAAGGTTTAACAGCGTAGATATCACACTAGATAATTAAAAAGAAGAAAACCAACAAAGCCCGATAATAGTTTAACACAACACTCATTCGTTGATGAAGTCAAATCCCAGTAAGAACTGCAAACGAACACACATGTTACCTCTTTGTTACATGTTACAAAATAATTTAAATTTGTTTTAAGGAGCATGTGCTTTCTATTTTGTGCACTACAGACAGTTAAGCATCTTGACTCTATCAAATATTGAAGAAGGCAAATGGTCAAAAAGACAGCCCAAATTAGATAACATGTAAATTTAAAAAAAAAAGTTAAAATTCTTCACTTTTGTGTGGCATGCAATTTTAGCCTTTGTTGCTTAATAAAAAAGTCTTTGGAAACTAAGAATTTTAGGAAACACAGAAGACGTCTTTTTGAAGTCAGACAAATACCTACAAGTACATAGAGGTAGTACATATTAGTAATACTTAACATTTCTAATCCTAAACAGATAGAAACTAGGAGTAATAAATAGGTTACATTGTATTTCCCACTCATTTCATGTGAAATTTTACTTTGAGCTTTTTGTTAATTAAATGCAGACAGATAAATTCTATACAGCTACGGAAGAAATTAATGTCACCTAACTTGAACAGAGGCTTAAGAAAATTTAGAAGCACTGCCACAGGAATATCTTGAGGTACTTGTGGTTATTATGCAAGTTGATTCCTGCTAAGTGGCTCACGAGAACAGGAGAGGTCAGGAGAATTTCGCCTATTTTCCTTGGGGCTTAAATGTTGACCATCAACAGTATGTAGTGGTAATGTTTGGTGGTCTTGAGTGCTGTCATAATAAGCAGGCTGTACTTCTCTCTTGTTGGGAGAGCCCCGCCTCATAAGTTGTTCAGTTTCGCCTTTAGTGGCTTGCCGCGGGAATAAATCAGATACATACACAACCTGTAAACAGACAAACGTTTAATGTAAAAGTTCAACTACATTATTTCATCAATAATTTAAATATGAGGAAAACATCTACTTACAGTTAAGATGGCTACAATAGTGCCAATGAGTAATCCTGACAAAACATCGCTCCAGTGGTGCTTGTAATTGGAAATGCGTGACATGGCTGTTGACCAAGACAGCATCAAGCATAAATATTGAATAGCATGCCGTAACAGTTTTGAGCCCTTGAACGTCATTTGTGATTGAAGATAGCACTGTTGAAAGATATTTTGAAAAAGGATATGAAAGTAGGGACAACTCAGAAAGTGTATTAAAAAATTAGTATAATTTTATGGCTTACCACGAGAAAGACCATGGTGTATGCAGAGAAAGATGAATGTCCGGATGGAAATGAAAGCCTAACACAAGGAGGACAACAGGTAATTAAATAGAAATGGAGTAAAAGACATAAAATCATTGAACAAAACAGGAAAATTTCCTATAAATAAAACTTAATATACCTCGCCTCTTTAAGCTTGCGAGAGCCTATGTTGGCTGTACATTCAAATTCTTCCCAATATTTATGCTGGTTTTCTGGTAAACTACAGTTAATGTTTGGTTTGCAAACATCAATAAAATGTGGACGTAGACGACCTATGGTGTACTTTGCAATATCAGTAGTAAGCTGAGAGCTTGCTGCACCAAATCCAAACACTCCAATTACTTTGTATGAATTCCACACCCATGAGGGAACTGCATGTCCCATGAAGATCTGAGCCACATGACCTGCTGCTGATCGATGGATGTAAAACTCAGTAATAATAATCTGCAAGCACGTAACATAAAATATTTTTAAAAAATGTGAAGGCTATAATATTTCAAGTTATTACTTGCTGATACTAACCACAGTTATTGGTAGAAATAAACCAATAATATACAACATTAAGTTTGTGACAGTTGACTCTTTGAATGGGTGCATTAGGGATTCATCATTACAATAGAACCCACGATGATATGGCTTACCAAACAAGAAAAAGAGCAAAATTGGTAATCCAACTGAAATTGGAAAATTTATTAAAGTAAGTAAAGTGTAAGTACATATGATTAAATTACTCCAATATGTTCAACAGTTCCTTACTCGTTAACAACACTGCCACATCTATGATGATCTTTCTAAGAAGATACTTAGAGTCTCTATCCATGGTTGAGCTGGGCGCAGCCGTAAGCACGCTCTATACCTGAACAAGAAGTTCTGGGGCTATGGGCGCTGGCTCTATGGACTTGACCCCGCAAGATAACAGATCAATTTTGATTTGATAGCTGACGTCTGCTTCCTTTACGACCCTTAACCTACTTCAGCTGGCCCTTAGAAGAGAACATGGTTGAAAACTGCCACACCTTGTTGGACAACCATCATCGACCAGCGAAAAGGATCAGATCCTGACTTTTCTTCCTTCTCTACAAGTCCTTCATGATCGAGTTCAAGAGCAACCCCATAAGAACACGGATATCACATATAGGATATAGGACTATGTCGTTTGCCTTGTCTTGCCTTCCCTTCGATTTACTTCTCTTTCTTCGCACCTGCCTCCTCCTGCCGGTATCTTTCTCAATTTTCCTTTGGTTTCTTCAATCATCGTCATTTCCCTTTCTCCTGCTTCCTTCTTCTATCTCAAGTTCACTACTCCCACTTCCACTGCCCCCACCCCGCCCCACCCCTTTCTTTTCCATCCCTCCTTAAGTGACGTCATGGATGTCCCCCCTCCTCCGACTGAGTAGCCAACGCTCGAATAATTTGACTGCCACCAGAATTTAGAAAGAACACATTTCGAAACTTTGATTCCCAATCAATAGGTGCATTCAAATTATTGCAAAAATTATTTTACATGCTTTTTTCTCAGGAAGCATAGATTTATTAAGGCTCTTAAAATCTGTTAGGCATGTTTTTCAAGTTTATTTACGCGTTTTGACGGTTTGCCCAGTATGTGCTGCCAGCCTCACGGCTAAAAAATAATTGGAACTCATTTGGATGTCTTCTTCCTCAAAATTAACAACAAGCTACTAAAACTTACAGAACTTTCACCAAAGTAATAATAAATGTGTTCATGTTTGTATTGACCCGCACCGTTCGTTCTAAAAATAACGTAATAATGTGTACGTTTCTGTTGTAGCATGTTGTAGCACTGTACATACAGAAGTCAGTCAAGGTGCTCCCACAATGTAGGCATCAACGGCATCAACGGCATCAAAGCATCAAAGGCATCGCTCGGGGTGGTTCCGGGAATACAGCGTTGGGGGGGATGACATTATTTGATGGATACATTAAAAAACTGTTTCCTCATCGTAAAATGGATTAAAGAAACACTATTTCACGGCTTTTGACGAGAACACGTCATTTTCCCAGCGTAATATACAGACGAAGGGCTCTACTTTCCCGACGCTCTTTTGACGTGTATCCTTCCGCCAGCACATCGCATCATCGCACGGCATCATTTCCGAGCACCCGACAAATGCACGGTATTTTAACTGTGTGTTATTATATTTTTCAAATGTAAAAATCGTAATGCGAAAAGACGCTTATGAAAATCCACGTATAATGCAGTACGGTGGGCGGCCGAAGCCGAATCCACAACGTGATTCCGCCGACGTCCAAGAGATAGCGCTGCGATACGGACCGACCAATCACAGCACAGGTTGAGTTTAGCCGCGAAACAATCGACGTTCGAAGTTCGTTGTTGCCGTCAACGTCAAACCTGGTCAAGCCCGCCTAAAGCCCGCCAAGCCGTATCTGCGACCGTCGGTGTTGTTTCTGTTTCTTTGTGATTTGTGAGTGTAATTCAACAAAAGTGTCAGAAATTTGTACCTAGCCTGGCTGATTCGCCTGCGAAACATTTATCGAAGTCCTAGTAATATCCCGAATTTGCGGGCTGGGAACCTAACCCTTGTTTGGCGGGTTGCCTTTGGCCGTTTGCAATATAATTTGGGGTCTATTATTTAAACAATAATGAGAGTGTGCACTGAGCCATTTTTAACCTAAGAAACGTCTCAATGTCTCACTTTATATTTTAATGAAGGAGTGTGGGGAATATCAGTCCGGATTCAGTCAGGCCATCATTTAATGACTTGAGTTCTGACCCTCTTCTCTCTGTTTCTTTACAGGTCCAGCATCCAGCCATCATCATTATCTTCCAGCATCCAGCCCAGCTCAATCCCACCATCATCATCCTCAAAATCATCCGCCTCCTCCATCGTCACCTGACAACACCCACTGCCCACCCTATTGGTAGGTCCCCAAAGGACTCAAATTTGTCTCGATGACATCAATTGACATCACTAGTCAAAATGACTAAGTTTTGATTAATGATGTCACTTGATGTCATCTTAACAATTTTCTGTCCCCTACGCAAGTAACACGAGACTCCTGAATAATGGTCAAATTGCAGTACAGTGACATAGCTGCCAGTCAGTCACCATGATTTGTATTTCAAGTTGTAAAATATCATGTAAATTTGACATCAAATTGAAAATATTGACTCTCTTCAATTGCTATTATATCAATTTGATGTCAAAATTACTTCAAATTTCACAGTCCGATATATGTCATGGTGAATCTGTGTTACTTGGGTTGATCCATACTCTCCCATTACCTCTCCTTCTAGAATGACATCGTGTGCACATTTCGCCAATGCTTTGTTGTTGTTAAATAATGCCACTGACATCTCATGTTAAAATATAATGAAAAATAAATGAAAACCACAAGTGGATTGACTTAGTTGACCTGTATCCTGTAAACTACAATAATGCTGGATGATATCAGTGAAACAAAGTTTGATTCATTTAAACTTGTAACCAGCTGAATGCTTCAAAGACAAGGATGATGCATTACCTCACGCAATTGTTACGTTCTCTGAAATGGTTCATCTCCTGTTAAGTATAGATTGAAAGACATCTATAAAGATAAAATATAAAATTAAAGTAATGTAGCTGGCTTTTTAAATAGAAAGAAAGAAATAAGTCGTTACTGTTGGTGGGTGGGGGAGGCTGATGCCGCGATACTCCACGCTCATGCTGACACTGGCCCACTGGCCGGTACGAAGGCAGTGTGGAGATGAGGGGACTGGACGTCGTTACCCCACGCATGCATGCGTGGGATAGCGCAGAGGGAGGGGGGGGGGGGCGTCCTTCGGCAACACTCTCGCCGTCTACTTCTCTGTCCCCCCCCCCCTCTGCGCTATCCCACGCATGCATGCGTGGGGTAACG